AATTTTACAACTGTCCAACAGCCCAAATATAGCACTAAAAAACAAAGAACGAACAGCATAAAAGCTTTAAATGCACTGTTTGATACATGTACATCAATTTGTATCATAAACAGCGCCCCCAATGGCATATGTCTCGAAGGTTCAAGATTTTACTGAACACAATTTATGACAAGATTATCAGCCGGTATTGACTTATTTACCGAACTGAAATTGCCTTTATTTCAGTAAAGATAGTTTTCGTGTATTGTTGACAATCGTGTGCAACAGAGGAATATGAGCGAAAAGGGTATCTTCCCTTGCGCAGTGCTATGACATTATTGATGTGAGCGTGCAGCTTGGCTAAAAAAAAGCCTCACAATACTCAGTAACGGAGCACTACCAAAGATGAACCAAAGTTTACCTTAAATGAAAAAAATTGAAACAAATCGTCAACGACACCACGAACTGACACCCGGTGGTCAGCGTTGCAGAAATACAAATCGGAGAAAAACGCTTTTAAAGGTTTGACACGAATTTACTCAGTAAAATATTCCATTTCTCTTAGAGGTTTTAGTATCACTCAACGTAAAAATGCTTTCACTACTCAATTATAAACGTTATATTGTAAAAATCTGCTTAGTTTATTAGCAATTAAATGATTAAGATGGGTGTCAGTTCGTGAAAACCAAAATGTACGTGTTTTCGGAGAGTGCGCGCATTCAATAGCGTTAGAGAGTGTCAGTTCGTGAAAACCAAAATTGACCCGTTTTGGGAGAGTGCGCGCACACACTGCGCATGCGTGCGCGCACTCTCCCAAAACGCGTCAATTTTGGTTTTCACGAACTGACACTCACTAACGCTATTGCATGCGCGCACTCTCCGAAAACACGTACATTTTGGTTTTCACGAACTGACACCCTGTGCAGTGTCACTTCGTGGTAACCAAAAATACCAGAATTGACCAATTTCTTGAAAATTCATTAGCAAAATTCGCTTATTTTAGATGATTTCAGCAATTTTAACCTCGTCATGTTAAACTTCATGATACAAACTGCTAATATGTGCAAAAAAAGAAAATTTGATTTTTTATTTTTTTTTGTACACATGTGATGCAGAGGGTGTCAGTTCGTGGTGTCGGTGACGAAATGTAAAGGCTTGAATTTTCTAGTCACTGAAAAAAATCATTCTTTCATGTTCATCAACAAGACATCGACTTCCGACGATACTCATTAATTTTGTTGTAACTGTAAAGTGAGGTTTCCAGGACCCTCGATCGTGAGAATCGTGCAGCTAACTAATAATTCGTTCACTATACTTTTAAAAATCAATTTCAAAGTCTTAAGATTCATTTACAAGGATAACAGTTCAATTTGTAAAGCATTCGCAGGCTTAGTCCATCTAAACAGCGCAATTTTCAGAAAATATAACGTTAACAAACTAAGCGTATAGTCATAGGCCATTATTTCTACAAACAAAAAATTATGTTTAGATCTGCTTAGGTCTGAATCTCGCCTCGTGAATTCAAAAGTCACAACGTTTGCGCGCAACCAGACTATTGTAAAATGGCAATAGACCACGAATGGTAATTTCGGCGTTGATAAGCTTCGATTTTTTGCTGAAATCGAAAGTGTTTCTGGTAAATACCAATAAAGAGAGGGGCATATACTGTTGAGCATTTAAAACCTGCAGTTCAAATGCTTGAAAGTTGCCTTCATGGAGACGCTGGCGATTCTTCCTACTTTTTGTAAGACAAGAGGCAGATTTTGATGACCATATTTTTTTATAGTGCTTATTATCGTCCGGCTTATGCAGCGCCCCATAAGAAGGCGGTTTCAGCCCCCTCCACCCCCACCCGGCCCACCCCACTTCTTGATTTTACAGAGGCCGGATGACAGGTGGAAAAAAAATCCCACTTTCAGCACGGATGAGCTAGCGACTATCCAACAAATAAAAATGACACGCTACGCCACTGAATCTGGGAATGTTGTTCATTTAACCAATTGTTCTTCCGCGTCCGAGGCCGCTTTGTCGCAGATGGAAGGATCGGCGTTGAGAGTCATTCCGGCACGCCGAGCTAGCGGCTGCACGCGATGACGTGGACCCTTGGCCGAGAACTCTTTGATGATGTGACCGGCGAAGCACGGAGAGGTCAAGCGGCCTCGGCAGGTCTGGTGGATCAAAAATCACGGTCTGTGTGATCGTCCGAAGCAGGTAGCCGGCACAGGGGAGGGCCAAGAGATCACAGTAAAGAGAGATCCACTTATTCCCGCTCAACTGCCCCGCCATTGCTACGCAATCCTCCTCCTCCTCCTCCTCCTCCTCCTCCTCCTCCTCCTCCTCCTCCTCCTCCTCCTCCTCCTCCTCCTCCTCCTCCTCCTCCTCCTCCTCCTCCTCCTCCTCCTCCTCCTCCTCCTCCTCCTCCTCCTCCTCCTCCTCCTCCTCCTCCTCCTCCTCCTCCTCCTCCTCCTCCTCCTCCTCCTCCTCCTCCCCCTCCCCGTACGTTACGCGTCGTCATCATCAAGATCTCATGGCCGCTGTATGCCCAACTCCCAGGGAGTGCCGATGGTAGCAGACCAGTAAATAAACTTCCATAGACCCCAATGGTAAATGCTCCCACTTCAAAAATTCGGGAAAAATACTCACAACTCTCCAAGGTGTTCGAGACACACATCAATTTAAAGCTTATTTCATCATCTTTCATTTTCTGTTCAATTTACGGGGGGTCAACTGATGACTTTTAGGAGAAATTTCCATCTGAAGACGATCACCCCTGAAAATAGTCCTGAAGCCCATCGCCATTTTGAAAAACGATGCCTACACTCCATTGCAAAATAGAGCGCTTTTAGGGTGCAAATTACATCCAAATTACACAGAACTGCAAGCTCCCAGTCCTGTTTCGCTTCCCTTCCACCCATATTCGCTTCTCTTCCACCCATATTTTTTACAAACCCTCAAGTTCATGGCCCACAGCATGCTCAAATACCGAAGATTTTGAGGGCATGCAAATCGCGATTTGGCCGGCGCAGGCAATTTCGGACCGATTTACTGGTCTGCACCCCGATATATCGTACGCCCATCAAATATCTCCCTCTGACTGTACAGAGCAGTCGAGCCACACATGGGAGCCAGGGGAGTAAGTTTCGAGAACCTATGTATATAGAGTTAGGGTTAGCTATCGTGATTTAAAGGATATGGTTGGTTGAGGGCAAGGATTAGGGTAAGGTTACTAAAACAAATGCGACATTGTGAGTTAAAGTGTCGAGGTACGGAGGCATATTCTGGAAGCCAAGCTTTTATATATATAGATGCTTTAAATAATAACTACATGCAATTAAAGAAATACTTAGTGAAATGATGAGACTTACACAAATCACACCCGCAACAGATATACAGAATGACCAAATTGACAGATGAGATAAACAAACTGATTACATGGACAAACTGATTACAAGGACAATACATTATCTTACAAACGTAATCTGGTAAGAAACAATGCACATATTGCTGACCAACACCAGCATCGGTATATAGCTCTGCTACTGGGACAGGACTGTCCGCGAGGTCTACTGGTATCCTTCGTAAAAGTTTGAGGCACGTATACTGACCCACTCGGGGCCAGGGCTAGGGGGCCGCCCGGCTGGCTTGTTTCCTCCCGCGCTGTTACGTGATGGATAGGGAAGGATGTGTGATTAGGGACGCTAAGATCCCAGAAGAGTCCAACATGGAAGGAGGTAATGGGTTCAAGTTGATTTCCTGGGTTCGACTCCTGAATGCTTGGATATGACCGTCCTTTTTTTAAATTCATTTTAAACATCTTGTTTTAATATAATAAGACAGTTCTAAAATAAAGCAGCAAAAATAAAGCAGTTGATGATCCTTTTACCGGCAATTTCACCTAAAAAAAACATGCCCAAATAGTCAGACCGGTAAAGGTCTGAGAGAAAGAGAGAGAGAAAAACAAATATTTACATCGGTACACTCCTTCAGACTCTGTCCGTTGGAAAAAGGAAATTGTTTCAATTTAGAATAATTTCTGTTAAATTCAACCAAAACTTGTGGTCAAGATCAAATTAAATTTAATTTTGTATGACCACAAGTTTTGGTTGAATTTAACAGAAGTTATAAACCAAGCAATTGGGTAATAACATACCACAATTTCGGGTAGTTGCAGTTTACACCCTTGCTTGGGTGAAATTAATCCAGGCAATTTTTCAGTGATACATGTACTTTAGACAGACTCTTCTATACGGCAAATTCTCCATGATTCTTCAACGGAGAATATTTCTATTTCTATCATTATTGATCTTTTAATGTTCAACCATATTAAATTAAATTCTTCGTTATTCAATTGAATTCTCACTTAATTAATCTTTTCGTTATTTGATGTTTTCGCAAACCAGAGTTATGCTTTCTTGAAGATCCTCCCGGTCTCTTGATAGATTATCACAAATATGAAGGTGGTTAATAATTCACTTCGCTATGGCTATAGACATATCATTACAGTCTTCAAATAAAAAAAACACTCTTGCATTTCAATTAGTAAAAAGTAAAAAACCTCATAACATAAAAACCTTAAAAATATGATAAATATTTTGTTGATTTAACAATCAGTCAAGATTGTTATAAACACAAATTCTACAACTGTCACCAACATAGGGCCTATTACTCAAACATTTCAAATTATAACTTGAATACCAAAATACAAATAATATTACAATATACAAACTGAGTAATAGACTTAAGTAAAAAATATATAGGCCCCACCACCAGCTGCCAAAAATTGTAGTGAAAACGTAAAGTTAGATATTTATTGTAACTCATCATAAAGTGTCAAAAATGAATTTTAATTTAAAACAAATACGCATATTTGCGTGTATATATAGGCTGATATACATGTAACTCTTCCACAAAATATATGAGTCCGAATAATAATAATATACAAACATAGAAACACAATGATTTTCTGATACATTGTAATGAGAAAAACCCACGATATAATAAGTGGTTTTTTTTTAAGTCCTGGCTGGAGCAGACTCAACGCTATGTGTCTCTCCCTTCAGTTGTCATCCAGCTCAGGGCGAATCATCAAGTACATGTAGTTGTCAGCTTTTGGCAGAAGTCGCATGTACGTCTACATATCAAGGAGAGAATAATTCCACCATGATTCCACCATTCCACCATTTTGTGACGAAATATTACAATCAAGTACATTCTATAAACACATGATGAATCTTAAGGTGATTGAATTGACTGGTCTCAATTCAAACACTCACATGTTCATTTTGGCTGTCGCCCATACTTGTCAGACGAGCCACTAGTTTCTTGAAATGAGGTCGGTGGGCCGGGTCTTCCTGCCAGCACAGCAGCATCAGGTTGTAGCTGCAAAACAACACATTTTGGTTGTCATTTACATACAACAGTATATTACCGTATCATTGCGTTTAATATTTTAATTGTAGGATAATAATACGTGCACATGTGGGAGCAACGTGAATAATGAATCAGGACAAACCACATATCGAGAGAAAAAACTAAACAAAAGGATATGGCTCAACATCAGTTCCGAAATAGTAAAATGTAAATCATAGATAAAGAGATAAGTCAGCCTATCGACGGAAGAACATTATCAGACTTAAGCCTCTTAATGTTCATATCTTACAATTCATCATCACAGCTGCTAGGTTTGGGCATCCGGTATCCACTCTTCAACCTCGACAAAAGGTCCTTAGATTTGGTGTCTTCATAAGGAGTGGCACCTTGAAAAAAATATACAAACTCAACTCTTAGCGAAAGGATATATTGCATTGATTAGAATGGGATCAATTCGCACGTGCTTAAGATTTAAATGGGAAAATGACGACTCAAGCGAAAACAAAACGACGTATTCCAGTCAGAATGTACTTTTCGAACACATTATCCGGACAAATTATACAAACACGTGAACAAAGGAAACTAATAATTATTGAAAGATCGAAATACTTTACCCAGGGTTGCAATTTCCCACAGAAGGATTCCGAAGGACCATCTATAACAAGAAACGAAAAACAAAGACGAATGAGTCTCGTTCAATGCTGCATGTGTGATGTGTTTCAGTTGTGTAAATGGACATTCTTAATGTTATCTTTTTGATGCTTACACGTCACTCTTTGGTGTGTAAATCTTGGAAGCCAACGACTCCAGAGACAGCCAGCGAGTAGGAACCCGAGTCTGCAAAAGGAGATATCAAAAAGGACGTTAAAATACTTGTATTTCTAATAAAACACGTACTTCTACAAAAGCTCGGTATGAGGGAGGGTAGAGTAATGAGTATGGCAGGTTTATGAGTAGGCCCAAGAAAAAATTGTCTTGATAATGAAACAGGAGATAATGAGAGCTGTTAATATTTACCCGTGACATCTGAACATAGATATCTTCTCCTCGAGACAAGCCAAAATCAGAAACCTTAGCAACCAGTTGACTGTCAAGGAGGATGTTCCTTGCCGCCAAATCACGATGGATCACCTGCAAAGAATGTTCCTTTATTTATTACTTTTAAAGTATGCTAAATTTGATTTCTGCAAACTCATGAGCATGGCCGTCGCCTGGATTTTTTCTAGATGGGGGCAAAACATATTTTTACCCCCAAAATCCTGTATTTCTCTACATTTTCTCGAATTATCACTTTTAGAGGGGGCAGGAACATTTCGCCCCCACCCATTAGATTTTCACCACTATGACTTTGCACCTCATTTTCTTTGCGTTATTTTCTCTTTTTATTTCTTCTTCTTCTTTTTTTGCTTTTCGGGGGGGGGGGGGCAAGCACCCCCTTGCCCCCCCCCCTCGCGACATCCATGCTCATGAGCTTTCCCTGTGTTCCACCTTTGCAACACTGGACCATACTCCATCATGGATCCGGTCAGCTCTGTTTTTAAGCCCATTAAGTCTGTATATCATCCGTTCTTATGTTTGTAAGCTTCAATAGATCGTTTGCACTGCAATCATCTTTGAGGTGTGTGCTTTTATTCAACTATGGTACGCATGAGTAGACGTCTTGTACATATATTGTTACAGCTCAAATCATCGGCAATCGATCTATAGCCGGACACTTTTAAACAATCCTTGGTTTCGTTACCAGTACAATGTTTCCACTAAGTATAAAAAACTAAGACAATATACTTACTCCCACTGCATCAAGGTGTTGCATTCCTTTGACAACATCCAAAGCAAACTGAATCAGCTTCTCAGGAGACAGAGTTGACTGATCATCGTCTCCCAGGGATCGGGCATTTCTCAGGTAGGTGCGCAGATCACCGTTGGGCATGAACTCCAAAGCCACGTACAAAATGTCTAGGAAAAAGAAAATTGACATTAAATGGCAATTTCTGTGGTTGTTTTGGGAGACGGTTTTTGAGAAAAATGCTCAAACTTCATTTCGTTCATTCAAGGACCGTGGCTCATTTCACTTGGAGTTAAATCATTAATTATTTAATTTTTGCGAGATATATGATATCTGTTAATCCAAAGATGGAAAAAATGCCATAAAAAGGGTAACATCTGTCTATATGACTCCATCGGTTTGCTTCCGAACTGCATTCTGCTGAAACGAATATTACAAATGGTCAAACTATTCTTCTCAACTAGGCCTACATGGTCACAAATCGACACAACAATCAGTAAATGAACACCAGCTATTTCACTGCATGTACTCACCTTCGTGTTGACAAGCACCAAGAATACTGACCACGTTCGGGTGCCGTCCAACTTTGGTCAGAGTTCGAAATTCCTCCATGAAGTTCTGCCAATCATTTTCAGAGGCGTTTGCTGTGAAGAATTTTCCGGTGAAACGAAATGTAACATGTGGGGTTATTTTTATTGATAAACTCAAAATTGAATGAAAAACGGCAATGACTTAATCTATAGAGTATATCTCATTGACTTTATTGCTGTTATACATTCAAATGTTTCGAAGTGCACAGCTACAGATATCAAAGGTACCTTTCAGTGTCTTTATAGCAGCTTTGGAGATGTCTTCCCCAACCAACACTGCTCCGTCGCGGACTTCCCCAAAGTTTCCTTCGCCCAAGACCTTCTTGCCAACCATCATTTCCTCCCATGGAATACGCCATTGCTGTGTCCAAGATGGTAAGCCTACGTCCTCATAGGTTGGTGGTGACATATTAATACCCACTACTTCATACGATGTTGGGTGATCGTGACCAACCCTCTCATAATCTGATGCCCCGGTGCCATTGTCTGGGGATATCTGATTCTCATACGCGGTCTACGAAAAGCAAAAACACACATATATCGACACCCAATTATCAAAAATCAGGAAACAGGCAACGTATGAAAAAGGGTGGACCCTACTCGAAAACTAAAAAGATGTTACAGTTTGAGATTGTTGTGTTAATGGGAAGTCGCTGTTCAGTGACAAGGGGAACATAGTTTATGTCATGTCTCAGTCAAAGTTCTGACACAGTATGCAGCCTATGTAATTGATGCCACTCACCAGTTCCTGCCCTCCTGTTGATGGTGGCTTTGCTGGTTGTCTTCTACTTCTTCGACGACGCAGAAAATAAATGCACAGGACCGCAGCAACGACAATCATGACGATTACGACAATGACAATGACAGCGATCAGAACTGTGTTTGACTCATCAGCTGAGGTGGGTTGTGGAGTAGTTGTCGCTGATAGAAAAATGGACACATTATTAATATCAACGTTCCATTTGTTGACGACAGGAGTAGACAGGAGCCTAGTCATGAGTCAGCTCTTGAGATTTCAGAAATAGTTGAAAGTGTGTCTTCACTAATATATTTTGACTATACGATTTGTCACCCCACCTTCTTTGGATTACTGAAATAAGCCAACACTGCCAAAAAACTGTGTTTAGCAATTAAACACTGTTCTTAACACTTTCTCGCTATCAGTTTGTAAACATGTTTATATACTAAACATGTTTAGAGTGAGGATGGATAGTGTTTAGCCATTGAACATTGATGTTTAGGAATTGAACACATACTGTTTAGCTTCTAAACATGTACAAAGTAATAGCAAGATTGTGTTTAATTGCTAAACACAGTTTTTAGAGTGAATACACAGAAAAACAAATGTGAACAAAATCTTATACATTTTCACTTAAAAGTATCCCTCAGTTGACCGTGAGTCGTGAAAAGAATGTGACTTCTTTGCATTCGCACTGCACAATGGCGATGTAAAAAATTGCAAGGACGATCCCTAGCAGTGTACAACATAGAACAGTAACGTTGTATCAAAGCACTCACTTGAAATATTCTATTTGACCCATTTTCTTTCGGACAAAAAATATCAATTATCAAAAATTAATCAGTCGGTTCGGTAATCAAACTGCACCTGCTCAATCCAACCCTATGCGTGAGAACCATCAACCTATTATTTTAAGTTTTATACCCTTAAGTCAAAAACGTTGTGTCTTGATGTGTACATCATGTACAGTTTAAATATAAAGCTAGGTCATTATTTACAAAGAAAGCGATGACACATCATATGTACTCGCTTGAAAAAACATGTACTCTCTAATGCTCACATGAACTTCCTGTAACTACTACTGAAGCAGTGGGTGCAGGTAAGGTGGTGATGGGTGGTGCTGGAAGTGTTGAAGATTCTGCGACTGTGGGGCCTTCAGTAGTTGGAGGAGGCGTTTTTGGAGGAGGTGTTAGAGGATAAATCAACTGTGATGCAGGACTCAAAGATCCCTGGCCTCCTGGTCCATCTCTTACAGCAGCCACGCTGAACTGGTAATGAGTGCTTGGTTCCAGCGGTTGGACTACAAAGCTATATGCAGCCTGTGACTGGTCTGTGACTGATATCTCACCAGCCATTGTCCATGATGCACTAGTTGAAAGCATGTAGTAAATGATGTATTTGATGATCGGTCCATCCCCAGAGTCCAGGTTGTGTGAGTCCCATGCCTGCCAGCTGACAGTCACCGATCCTGGCCCAGCAACGACTTCGGGAGCCTGACTTAGATATGGGAGAACTGCAACACAACCACAAAGAAAAGTCAGTAACTTAAATGCCATCTTTTCTTGAACATGTACATGTACAAGTACTTCCTCAAATACACCATAGTAGTCCGATCACTGTATGCAAAATAAGTTAAGGGATTTTGAAATGAATGGGATGTGAACCTGCGACTTCCCGCACATCAATCTTAAAATAGAGCTACCCATCCCTTTGTTAACACATAGAAGGAATAAACCCGTTTAAAAACAATTACAATCATATTGCTTATGAGAGGCTATCTGTGATAAATTTAATTATACATCTTCAGATATCATATGTTCTGACCCACCAAAATGGTAAATGTTTCAGAGCCTTGTGGTGTTTTCATGCATCATTTCGCTTTCTTGGTCCCACCATAACCCTTCCCTCTATCAACTAAATACTATAGTCTGAATACATGCATCACCTCGTGTTAAGGCTTGAATCTAACAGCTTACTAAAATTTTAAAATGGTCACAAATAAAAGTATAAATTTAGTGAAATTCTTTGTTAGACAAGGCGAAGATCAAAGCATGTACAAGTGATTTCTCTGTGGCACTGGATTGAACAAATTAATGCACTAAGCATGTTTCTACTACATGTACCAAATTTAGGACGGCAAAAATTACAAACCGAAAGTGATTCTAAGCTAATTGCTTTACCAAAAAGGGACACACTCAGAGTTGTTGATACACTTTGACTGTTATGAAAAAGACTACAGACGACCAGCTGGTTGTTAGTCAGTCCAGATGCAGTGAACGTGTTGTTCAGGACCGTCCCTTCAGTCACCGTTTCTGTTCGTGTGAATCCTGCTGAGCCACTGCTTCCAAGGACAATGGAGTTTGCCAACAGAGCGTCCCCTGACGTAGCTGCACAACTGAATGTCACATCTTGGCCTTGATTTGGCATCGTCAACATTTGAAATTCAATGATACCTTTTGATAGAAAAATAAACACTTTATAATTATTCTGTATCAGCTAAATCCTAATTGTTTTAAATCTCCCTCCAAAACATATGTATTTGCAAATTGTCAGTTTGCAAAGCGCCTGCCCGAAAGCGCATATTGCCTGGTCAGAATAGTCACTAAACAAACACTTGTTATGCTCCGGTGAAGGAATGCTGTTAAACCAATTCAATAAGACAAAATAAACTATACAGTTTAGCACATTTCGCTGTGAGTTGATAGTAAATAAAATTGAAGTGAATACAAAATGAGTGCTCTAAATAATGCAGAATGCAAAATTTTGAGTACTTTTATCAGATTTCAGACAACCTTGATAACTTTTTGAGCTGAATCCTTCCCGGGGAATTAAACATACCATATGCTTGAATAAACGAATAATGTGGAAGAGTGCCATTCCTTTTATAAATCCAAGATCCAACCACATGACATGTTTGCTAGGAAGCTTCCTGAATCCGCCAAGTCCAACGTTGTGCAATAGTCCAGTGAAATACAATTGTACTCACACAAAATCGGGATATTTAAAGCCCCGTGTTAATGACACAAGTGCGAGTGCACAATAAGATCTGGCCGTGTTGCAAGAAGTCTTGCAGAAAGTCTTGCATGAAATTGATCAAAATGATCCCTGCTAGAGCTAAAAAATGCGGCGCCGAAAAATGCAACGCCGATGGCACATATGGGACACCATATTTTTAGTCAATCCCCATGCTTCCCATAAAGTGACACATGAAAGTGCCACAGGGCCTGAGGCCAGAGCCAAGGTGATTCATAGTGCACAGGTGCTTGCCAAGAAGCCCCCTAGCCCCTCACTATTACCACAGTTCTATGGGTGAGTTACGGGATGCGTTTTTGGTTAATTTTTGTTGGGGGGGGGGGGGGGACCGACCGACCGAAACCAAAATGACTTGTAGAAGTAGTCTGTTGCTAGAGCTTAAAAAAGAGAGGGCCCACTGGTTTCCTTTATGGACTCCGTGCACAGCAGATGGCATCCTGTGACCACTTTCAAAGGCTCCATTGGGAGGAGCACACCGCAGGAGCTGGTTTGGGCATATACGCCGTGAACGCACGACTGATTTTGTGGGGGTTAAATGTTTCCAAATTGGTTACGTCTTTGTGTCAGGCGCAATCGACAATGCGTTCGAATGTTCCTTCTGGTGGCTTCCCCCTTCGATTCTCTCCTGTTGTAACTGTTGAGGGCCATGCATCAAAACAGTGCAATAAGTAGGAGCATAGTTTTTTTAAAATGAGATATTTAGGGTTGGAACGATTTCTTTAACATGAATGGTATTTAAAATTCTCTTAACTCGACGTGCCTTATTGTGTATTAAAATGCCCAGTATTATCCAGAAGGGTGTCTGTGACTTATGCAACGGATTATGACACAATTTATACATACTCACTTTGGGGTGGCAAAAGGTGCGGCTCACAAATTGAAAATATACGATTTTACAGACTTGGCATGATCATTGTTGAGCCAGTCATTGTCCAACTTATAAAGGTTAATACGCTGCACATATTAAAGTAACTCACATCTTTGTTTCTGTGACAGAATTTTGAGTTAACCTGATGTACCAAAGAAATTAAGACAACAAATTTTACATAATATTTTGGTGGAGCTACACATGCATGTTGGTGACTAGTATGAAATCATGCATCAACGGCCATTGTTAAAGATATGATTATCGTCGTCTACATAATTTAAAATATTCATAACATTGCTCGGCAGTGTTTAGTTAACTGGATCATGAATATACCGCATAACTATATCAGCTGTTGGACAACCAATGAACATAACCATGGGCGTCGCCAGGAGTTTTTGTCTAGAAGGGGGCAAAGCACATTATTTCCCAAAATCCTTATACGCTCTCAAGCTTATTCTCAATTTATCATTTTTTTCGAGGGTGGGCGGGGGACATGTGCCCAGCCACCATGTTGTCAAATTCCCATTTAATTAACAGCAATATGGCTTTGCCCCTCATCTTTTTGTTTTTGTTGTTGCTTTCCAGGGGTTTGGAGGGCAAACGCCCCACTTGCGCCCACCCCTCGCGACGCCCATAAATGATTCCTTTTTTACAAGTTCTAGGATCAATTGTACCTGTCTGACAGTTGTTTGCATTCATATCTGACTTGAATCCACCAGCACAGACTCCATTCGATCCACTGCAGTAACCACTGTCTCTCTCGCAGGCAGCGTTATTGGAACACTGGCAATCACTAGAACAATCCAGTCCAAATTTGCCAGTTATACATGCACCTGATACTGCACAGGCAAAAGAACGGAAAAGAGTGGCATGGACATCACTCCCTATTTCTTCATAGCCTGTTTTCTTTGTGTATTATAGTCGACGGGCTCGATGTTGTTCAAAAAAGAACGTATGTTCACGACCATTATGCCCGTTTGGTCGATTACGTCCGACAACAGATTTTGACGAGCAATGGCCGATTATGTCCGACCATTATGTCCGCCGGCCGATTATGTCCGACCCATTGTGTCCTACGGCCGATTATGTTCGACCCATTGTGTCCGACGTCCGATTATGTCCGACCCATTGTGTCCGACGGCGATTATTTCCGACCCATTGTGTCCGACGGCCGATTATGTCCGACCCATTACGTCCGACGGCCGATTATGTCCGACCCATTGTGTCCGACGGCCGATTATGTCCGACCCATTCTGTCCGACGTCCGATTATGTCCGACCAATTATGTCTGACGGCGATTATGTCCGACCCATTGTGTCCGACGGCCGATTATGTCCGACCCATTGTGTCCGACGGCCGATTATGTCCGACCGAATATGTCCGACCCATTGTCCGACGGCCGATTATGCCCGACCCATTATGTCCGACGGCCGATTATGTCCAACCCATTGTGTCCGACAATGGGATACGTCCGACCTATTGTATTTAGATGGTCGATTACGCCGGATTCATTCGGTTGTGTACTGACATTATTAAATTATCTTTGGATTGTTACTTGAGTGCGCGCGTAAAATAGCCATGACAATTCTGAAAATGTCCCCTTGGTGCTAATTCGGGCGATTCACAATGAAGTGCGCCACCAATAGTTTGCCGCGTAGAATTCATTTTTCTCAACATTGTGGGAAATGGTCGACAAATTCGCAGCGCGGGACATTTGAAATTGTTAGGTTTATTATGTTTGCCCTTTTCTTTTAAATTTCTTTTAATCAATATGGTGTTCTTTGTACACTTGGATTTGGATGGTTCAAATTGCATAATTTTGATCCAAGTGGAGGATGGGATAACTGAATTGCTTCCCATGTTGCTTTGGAAGAACGTTGAAGTCTGGCAGATTGGTGCACAATATGATTAAATTGTTCATAAAAGCATGGAATTAGGCATTTGAAAAACTAAAGGTAGAATACTAATTTCTAAATTTACAAAATGGCTGCCATTGTTTGCTATTATACCCATATTTTTTTTCAAAGTACAAATCTGCAATGGCCATACAGCCAAATATCTTTCTCAAGACATACGCAGACTGTGTGCCAAATTCTCTGCTTTTATCATCAAATGAACAATTCCATCACTGTTAATATGTTCACAGTTTAATATTAAAGTGTTTTCACGTTTCTGAGTTTCATTTTAATACTTAAACTCTTGTTATTTTACATGATTATTATGTAGTTCTTGTTATGTAGTTAAAACTCATAATTGAGTTTAAATTATTTAATAAGCCTTTTAATACTTATTGTAGTTGGCTATCGCCCTTGTTATCACTATCAATATCAGTATCATCAACATCGACATTATCATCGCTGTATCATGTACCGGTTTGATATTTACTCAAAACATAAATCAAGCGATTAACAAAATGTATACGGTTTAACAGAAAAGCCGATGCAAAATAACCGTTAACGTTGGCAGAAAAAAATCAAAGAAAAACCAATGAAATTGACAATTAAAGCCACAGCAACGGCCTAACTTATTTCTTTAGATACTTCTTCCTGTTAAATCAAATTAAGTGCAAATCATAACTGTGGTTTTATGCATAAACCATCTCCTTTCACTAAATAATATATTTTCATTATTGAAAAGTACTGATTAAACCAGATTTGCCCTACAGTGCCCAGACAGTTTTGTATAGACGGTTACAAGAAATAGTGGAGGATTTGTATATTTACTCTTTATCTTATTGGCAGGATTAAAAAGCCGATTTAATTAAAATTGTGTCGATTGCGTTGAATTATTACTTTTATCAATATTCAAAATACAGTTTACTACTGTTATCATTATTCAGTATACCGGAAGTCGTCAGTGGCTTTAATATTTTTAGTGGGGCTGTCCACGTTATTTTTTGGTCATAAGTTTGCCCCGAAGTAGCTACCAGAAGGGCAAAAATAGCCCAACGATCATCGTGTACCTACACATTTTCGCCACTATAGTTTCCCTTCACCTCTGTATATTCCGTAACGAAAACACACTCCTGATTTAAGCCCACATCCATAAAAAAAATGTAAACGCACAACCTTACAATACGTGACCTTTTTTGTATTATATCTTTCTTATCTCCCAAGATTATCTCTAATTTTAGGCCTCTCACTTTGAAAATTGTGCCCTTCCGTTTAAACGAAAAATCGGCAGATCTTTATCATTGTTATGCACTATTGAAGCAATAAGTTTATTACATTCATCAATACTTGTTTTCCTGCGAGAAACTAAATTCCCAAAACCACATTTTCAAACTACAAAAGAAAAATGCCCTAAATGCTTTAAAAAAACCTATTTAAGGGAACGAAATTAAACAAATAATGAATGAAAAGAAAAGCAATGACAGTTCACGTAGTATCCACTAGACTACATGAGTGACTCCTTCCACTGAGTTGTTTTATACATTATATTAATGCATGTACACGTATTGCCCCATACGCGGCAATCATCCATGTAGGACCGACTTTGTGATATAGAAAAAGCTTGCCTCTGGTTAATGCAGTCCTCGGCACGCCCTGGGGATAGGGCGCCCCCATTCGAGCGGTACTTCACTGGATTTTTTTTCTTCACTTTTACACATCGCCCTTATAACATTAACAGGGTCCTGATTCCGATAAGTGTTGCAATTGCACTCAGTGTGCCAATTGCACTCTATGAAGAGATGCCATCATAGAGTGCAAAACAAAATGACACTGAAAAGTCACTGGTGAGAGATTAGAGCCCAAAATAGAGGATGAAATAAATCAGATTTCATAGGACGCCAAAATATTATGACAACAAACTTTCAGAGTTTACCGGACAAAATTGGGTCAGAGAAAATCGGATTCCTGGTATCCAATTCTGTTCAAGTCCAATCTCACTTTTATGAGTGAGTGCTTCTATTAAAATACGGCCGCATTGTCACACTTCGGGGTAAAGATGAGATTTGTCTTCCACATAATCAGCAATGCAGACCTACATGCAAATTAAACAAAATCCTCGATCGGCCATCGGACATAATGGGTCGGACATAATCGTAGATAGGACACAATGGGTCGGACTTAATCGGCCGTCGGACACAATGGGTCGGACATAATCGCCGTCGGACATTATGGGTCGGACATAATCGGCCGTCGCTCGTCAAAATCTGTTGTCGGACGTAATCGACCAAATAATAATAACTTTATTTACAGATGGTAGCCATGTCACCTGACAGATGATTTTCAATGGGCCATCTAAAACGGACATAACGGTCGTGAACAAACGTACACTACATAGGTCCACTATATGGGGAAAAAACTATGGAAGTATTTGTCACATCAATTCTTAGATAGGAAACATATATAACAGTACAAAGCACAGCTTCTCATAGCGATACGAGGAAGGCAAAGGTGTCTGGTACTTACTTTGGCAGCTTGTACCAGACCAACCAGCTTGACATCCACTTGGTGTACATACTCCAGTGAATCTATCACAAGCTGCATTGCCTGCCTGACAACGGCAGGTCTGGGTACATCCAGCACCAAATGTTCCAGAGGGGCAATCTGTAATCAAGAGTACACCGGAGTACAACATAAACATTTTAAAAGGGGCCGTATCATAAGTCCGACGCCTCATACCTCCGACAATGGGCAAACGCTGTTTTTGGACTTATGAGGTGTCGGAGCTATGAGGCGCCGGACTTATGCGGCGTCGGACCTATGAGGCGAAATTTACGCCTCATAAGTCCGACTCGTCATAAGTCCGCCGTCTAGATCAAAAAGTCCGAAATTTCGGACTTATGAGGCTTTGGCCTTATGAGGCGTCGGACCTAGGAGCGGACCCCTTTTAAAAGACAAGAACATGGGCGTCGCCAGGATTTTTTCTAGAGGGGGGCAACAAAAAAATTTGCCAAAAAATGCTTGTATTTCTCAACACATTCTCGATTTATCAGTTTTAGAGGGGGGCAGGGACATTTTGCCCCCCCCCCCAACTTATTAAATTTACACCACTTTGTCTTCGCGCCTCTTTTCCTTTTCTTTTTTTTTCTTTTCTTTTTTCTTCCCTTTTTTTTTTTTTTTTTTTTTTGCTTTTCCAGGGGGGGGCAAGTGCCCCCCCTTGCCCCCCCCTCGCGACGCCCATGGACAAGAAACACGTTGCATTATGTTTGTTATATTTATGAGGATCATTAAACTGATTCAGTAACCATTTTCTCAGGATTTCATATGCTCAAAAATTGTTTGATGTCAAAATCTAATTACATTCCTGAACCGGTTATGGGCCTACTGATGGTGAACGATATGTTTTTAAAAAGAAACGCAATGTGTGCTTGAATAAATGATATGGTTTTTGTACCCGCGAAAAAAATCTGCCGTCATTGCGTCAAGCTCAAGTAATTTATGACGCCAAATAAGTACAACTCCGAGTTAAAAGGACTTAATTGCTGATACGAAATGCAGCACTCATGCCTTTTAATTTAATTTAAATCAAAGAATCGGAAATTGTTGCTGTAGCGTCATTAATTTTGTAAGGAATATTTTGTTTAAATATACACTAATTTGTGACAAATTTGGTTTTCCCCGCATCCTAGTTTTCAATCTAATGTCATGTACAAGAACAACATGAAAACTTTATGAAAGCCTATGACTGAGATTGGTTTTCATTTAACACTTACTGACATTGCAGTAGATGCCTGTATATCCTGATATGCAGCTGTTCCCATAAGGATCTGGTAGACCAAACTGGCCATTACAAATGTTGGATGAAGCCGCTGATTCACAATTAAACTCACAATTCCAGCCAAATATGTGCCTACCACATGCTGCAAGCATACAACAATTCGACAGTTCAAATAAAATATTGCCACTCTACCCCCCTGTTTTTGGCCCGAGAACCAAGATTTTGTTCCGTAAATTGAAATCATTTATTTACCTAGTGATTATTTTGTGCGGAAGCGTAGAAGGGCCACAACCATTACACTATTTCTAAATTAGTATCTCGCCGCGGCGGCGACACGCCGTGGCAAGACGGGGAGATACTGTCTCGCCTTGGCGAGTTACTAGGCCTATCTCGCCCAGTGACTGGCGATCTTTGAGGACCAAAGTTAAGCAACCCTAAATTCATATGGGATAGTTGATTGAATGTCATATTCTACTGAGTAAACGTTTGATACAAACTTTTAGTGCAAAGAGTAATTTAGAGCCCCAAATTAAAAAAATAAATAAAAAAATGACGATAGTGTCTCTTAAGCAGCACACATACCATAAGAAATTAGTAGAAAAGTAAAATCCAGTCGAATCTCGAGTCGAATCCCAAGTCAAATCACAAACAGCTAGTCAAATCAGAAGTTAATCACAAGTTTGATCACAAATGAGGAAAGGATAATTAAAGGCAATTGTTGCCATCGTCAAGTTCATTCAAAAGCTTTTGACTAACAATGATCCAAATTATGGACCTAACAGGTCATCTCAATCCGATTTTCACACGTGACAGATTTTGATAGACAGAGGGACAGACACTGTATTATTGACATATCATTTAGATGAATTAACGTCATTACCATGTGAGGCAGATTGGTCCTCTGATTTCTGGTGGGTAGATGCCATCTCCTGTCTCATCATCACACACTCCTCCATTGTAACACAGATCACACACTCAGACCAACAGCCCGCCCGACAGACAGACAGACCAGGCAATGAGCTTACCTGTGAGGCAGTTTGGTCCACTGAATCCTGGTGGGCAGATGCAATCTCCTGTCTCATCATCACACACTCCTCCATTGTAACACAGATCACACACCCCTACACAGGCAGGAGGATCCCACTTGCCTGAAGTACAACCTTGAAAACAAGTTGTATCAAAAATGGGCAACTACACTAATTATGTTTTGTTATTCTGTAGCCATGCTCAATACTATTGCAATCATATTTCTAAAAACATTTTGTTGTTTCAAGTTGTTCAGAGTGTGACAAATATTTATTCATTGTAAAATATTTCTTGTTCCTGACATGTGATACATGTGATATCTTATTATATCATGTCATATCATGCCACGCTAAGATTCAAAGACTGGCAGATGGCACCATGAAGTTGCTGTAACATTGCACATAGGCCTATCACTTGCGAAAATGTTCCTCGTACACAATCAGTGATTGTGTAAAAAGAAAATTTTTGCAAGTGAAATTTCCAATCAGATGAAACTCTTCAGTGATCTTGCTTATCAGTGAGGTCGAATGAAGAGTTGACATCAATTTCAATGTTACAAATACCCTTTACAAGTTGTCACCCATGCAAAAAGAACTTCAACTGTGCGTTTGAGAGATACTGATGTCAGTGGTACCCATTTATTCCCTAGCATGGTACCATCACTATTGTTCACATACAATTATATAACTGACCTCAATTCTTCAGCGAGGATAAAGAGAAACATTTCAAATGCTATGTCCCGCATCCCGTACCATATCCATCAATACTCAACTTTACAACAAAATGTCCATTAAGATAAAAAGGTTATGTTTAAAAATGTTTTCTTTTTAGGGATTTTTTCTATGGATAATCTTGTTCAATCCAGATTGGGCCATATATCTTAACAAACACTGTATACTCAAGAGTTGTCCGAAAAGTATCACCCACGACTTCCTGCTTATAAGTGCAGATGTCTTTCCAGGAGGTCGTGGGATCAAGTCCCACCCGAGTAAGCTTGTGAATTGTTCCTGCAAGCCTGTTGACATTACTAAGTATATAGTGTTTACAAATAATTGTTGATGAAGTGCAAACCTACTGAAATTAACATCACCCTGATGCAAAATTCCTATAAATAATCATGTTCATGGGTAATTCATGTTTTTTTTGCTTACCTCTGACTATGACTCTGATCATACTAAAGTGATTATCACCAACTGACAGCGAACTCTGTAAAGTGGCAAACAAATCTCCATCACTGACCATGGAGGAAGGAACCGTGACATTGTACAATCGACTGTATTGATCTAAATCTGTCGAAGTTCCATCTCTGATTCTACGCCACAGAGGAGTATGACCAGAATTGACAGAGTTAATCACGAGAGTGACACCTTCTTCTGCATTGATAGTCTTTGTCACCAGTCCATTATGTGGCTCAAACCTTCCTGCAATATTGACAGCAATTTGAAAAGGGAATTAAAACAAAATATATGACAGTAATTGTTTTTAAAGGGTCTGTATGTTCTACCCGGTACTTTGTTCCCGTTTTTAAAGCTTCTTTACACATGTTGATTTCTTAGAAAAGTAAATACATGTTTTAGATTTTAAAGGAACAAAACTGTGCAAAAGGGCGGATCCAGAACACAATTTTTTGGGGGCCAAAATTTGTTTTGGTCCCCCCAAAAAGTGGGTCAAAAAAATTACGGCGTGGGGTTCGGGGCCCGCTTAAGGGCCCCGAAATTTTTTTGGATTCTAGATGCTCTGTGGTGCGATCTGAGGCAATTTCTGCCCACTTTAACCAATGTTTTTTTTTGAGGAAAAGATGGTGGTGTACTCATTGCCTGCCTTTATTGCGATGTCACATAAAAAAAAAAAAAAAATGGTTTCGTCTTTCTTTGGGGTGGGGGGGGGGGGGGCGGCATGGCCCCCTTTGGCCCCCCCCCCCTGGATCCGCCCTTGGTTGAAAGTCATTAAAGCCCTGGGCCCTTGTTGTATTGTATTTTTTTTGCAGAAAAATTGGGATTTCTGAGCAATTTCACAAAAGTGATAAAATACGCAATGTACGAACTGTCTATAAAATTGACAGACATCTACAATGCATATATTAGAGGGCCCATGTAATGTAATTTTTTAAGCAGTCCTTGTAAATGCATCTTTGTGTCCCATTTAACCATATTTTCAATTTTTATTTTGTCATTTTAAGGGCATTTTGTAAACACCGTCGATATATCGATATTACTTAATTATTCGATATTGTTTTGATATCGATATCGCCAATTTCATTTTTTTAATCATGTCGAAATATCGTACCTTCTGATTTTGAGGATTAATATCAAAACTTTCGAAAAGTTCAATATTGAGGAATGATATCGACAGTATCAGAAAAGTGAATTTCTTTCTTCAACACTGTGACTAGAGAGTGCACTGTATTTATTGAGTCAAAAAATCTACCCCAAAAGTCATACTCGATTCCTAATGCAAGTTAAGGGTCGGACAGTCACCTCTGGCAGACGCCACCCGTCATGTTTGGGGTTTACGACTTAATATGTCCCCTGCAAACAAGGAGTCGCTCTATCATTCCCCGTACGATATTAAAGTACCGAGGGGGGCCACAAAAATTAAAAACAGGTGCCACATTTCCTAATTTTGTTTATATTTTTTATATATTTTTTAAAATTGAACTCGTTCATGGTATAATCGAAATATCGAATATACTCGACATTGAATTTCTGATATATCGATTATTGAAAATTCTAATATCGACGGTGCGTGGCTTTTGGTGCCTTTTTGGTCATTTCAGGCAAAAACCTCCATGTTACAGCTGTTTCAGCACAAAACTTTGCCAACATTTTTGATATTTTGCTGTCCTAAATTTTTTTTGGGTGATTTATTGTCTCAAAGCAAAGTTTTCTGCAAAATGTTTACAATGAGCAATTTTGGGTTCCAATTTTAACAGAAAACCCCTAAACTAAACAGTATCTTCCTAAAATGACATCACAGCAACAGCGTCCTCAGTTTTTAGGAAAAGCAAGGTTTTTTTTATTTAATGTTTAAAGAAGTGTACTTACCAAAAAGGGATGACACGTAGGTTAAGAGGAGTAGAAAGATGCGCAAAATATGTTCCAAAGTACAATACAGGGCGAGTCAAAAAAGCGAAACCCAAAAGTCGGAACTATTATTTTAGTGAAGTTCTGCATGTACATTTTGTAGCACTTTCAAAATATAGGATATAAAAGCCCAATTCATAAGCTTTCTTTTAGTACAAGAATCATTCAAATCACTTACGTACATTTCAAGTTACGGACTTTTAAACACAACCACCGTTTTAAAGTTCTGTCCTAGGATCACAAGAAAATGTGTGCTTTCTTTCAGCAAAACGAAAACGATGTGATTTGTTTTCGTTTTGCTGAAAAAACACTTAGCTTTGTGTGATCTGTGGACAAACTTTAAAACGGTGGTTGTGTTTAAAATTACGTAACTTGAAAAGTACATTTCTGAGTGATCTGAATGATTTTTGTACTAAAAAAAAGCTTATGAACTGGGCTTTCATATCCTAGATTTTAGAAGTGCTACATCGCTAAAACAATGGTCCCGACATTTGGTTTTCGCCTTTTTTGGCTCACCCTGTATATGTCATGAACCCTTTAAAAATATTGACTAATTCGATATTTCACAGACATCAATTGTTTCTTGATTCATCTTAACACTGTGATGTCCATGAATTTACTTACTATTCACACTGTGGATGATGCTGTATACCCTCGTTGTTAGCCCTCTATTGGAACCTTCACAATAAAACAACCCAGTTGCATCATTACTGGTGGTCAGATCCTGTGTGACTATTTGTCCATTCACTGATTGACTACTGCCAGTAGGGAGGGTGGTAGATGTTTGTATTGTAGATCCTGGCAGAGCTATCTGGAATGGTCTCCCGAAGCCCAGTGTGACGTCATTATCAGGACTGCTACGGAAACAGCTGATGCTGGCTGAGGACCCCGCCCCGTAAGGTGTGGGCGTGACCATTGTCAGGTGCACTGTGTCACCTGTTGAAAGTACAAAGCCAAAACACAAAGACATTTAGTGTCCAGGGGGATGCAGGATTTTTCTGCAGCTAGGGGTTCATCAGCAAATAATTCTCAAATGTAAAAGCAATAAGGGGGGGGGGGGGGCTCGTACCATAATTTCAATGGGAGCGCTGTTCAAATCCGACGATTATTAACAGTATATCGGTATATTACAGAATACTGTACAAATACCCCCTAACCAAACTGGCTCTAACCATTATTATTTGTACAAGCAGACATTATTACCAGTAAAATTTGTTTGGGTGTCAGAGCAGGGGGAGGGGGAGGGTGTTTGCATTATTTTTAATGAATTTCTTTAAAGAAAAACCTTTTGACAGAGCTGGTTTTTTTCCCTTGACCCCCCCCCCAATCCATGCATGTTGGCTTGTAGTTTTCTTTTACTTTAGTTGTAACACATACAGTACACTCTGAACAGTCACCTTCTGTGTGCATTCATTTGAATATCTGCCTTTGAAACTTTAACCCTCCTGCTGTTTAAAAGTTCACAAATGGTCAAAATTGCCTTCCATTTTCACTGGTATACTTTTAACAAACCAATGGGTCACTTGACCAATATTGACCCAAGTAAGAGCATGGCTCAGAATGCATGTTTTCATAGGTCTATTGTTGTTAATGTTACTGTGTGGATAAAACAATTATTTACTTATTTGCTTATTTACTTGTTTTGCTTCGCTTTTCTTTATGTTCATGTACTTGTTTT